ATGGGGGGCCATCTAAGGGAAGGACTTAACTTGCTTCTTGCTGTGAGTGATTTTCCAGCAACGCCCCCCACCCCCCCAAGGCGGCGTTGTATAACAGGAAGGGTATAAAGTCGGCGTTTGGCTAACTACTGAAACTTCACTAACCTCTCACCGGAACAAGAGACGTCTGAAAATAAAACGGGATAGCAGATGAAACTAGGAAAGGGCAGCAGAAACCCCTGACTTCAGCCCAGCAGCGGCACGGAGAGCAGGCAGGGAACTTCAGCTCTAATGCAAATCTGACAACTTGGAACAGCCCAAGCTCCTGCTTCTCTGGAGGTCCTGGTTTACCTGCCTCTCTTTGGGTCAATTTCTCTGACTACTTAGGCCTCCTACAAATGGGTTTCCCTATAATACTGCATCCTCCCACCTGGCGGATGAAAATAACTCCCAGATAGGCGTTTTGACTCCTGCTTTCCCAAGTTCGCTCTTCCTTTCCTCCCTCAGTCTTCCTCATCAGGAACTACCACCACATTGGACACATTTGGAGAGCGCGCACCTGCTAGCTCAGGGATGGGCTGCTGGAACCCACTCAGCTGTGCTGAGAAAGGCCTGCCATTCTGCTCTGCCAGGTCACAGAATGCTGGCTCCCCTGCACGTGCGGGGCTGCCCGAGTCAGGAGGGGCTTGACAGCAACCGTGTTAAAACATCTACCCCGTCAAGCTGAGAAACCCTCACATCCTCCTCCCTCTCACTTGCAATCTCACCGCAAAGTCCTGCTGCTCCTCGACACTAGCTCCCCGATTGGCTCAGGCCTCTCTTTACCCCCACCCACCCAAAGCAGGTGCTCACAACATCCTCAGCAGTCTGAGCTTCCCCTCTTGCTTGCCAACTATCTGTTCTTCACGGAAGCAGCTTCCGTTTAATAATGAGTTCTTGGCCACTGAACACCTACACTGTCCTGTGCACCATGGCACCCTCATTACTTTCAACAGCACCCAGAACGTTAGAAGGTGCTCAATAAGAAAATGACTGCTAGGTACTCAGATCTGGAATTCCCATCACGTCTAAATTAATAGGAATGAAGCTTTTAAAATGCACCTCCCCCTCCCCCTCTCCCACCCCCTGCATCTCAAAGACATGTTGGCCCATCACCCAGATGCAAAGCCTGGGGAGTCATCTTGTATCGCTGGTGCATACCTTCAGCATGTTACTGAATCCTGAAAGGTTTTATTTCCATAATTTCCCTCAGATCTATTTCTCGCCTCTCAAATATCATTGCCTCCACTTACTGAAGACCGTTGACCCTTCTGTATTTGAAACATCCATCTTTCTAAAACTAGCCAATTAAAATGAAACACAAAAACCAAACTTCCTGAGCGATTTTTAAAAATGGAAAACGGCTCTGGCATTCAGGACTTTCGAAAGCCTTACTACTGCCCGCATCACTCCTTGACCTGCAGCCTGCTCCAGCCAGACCTGCTCCATCAGGGCAGTGGAGCTTTCTAGGCAGAGAGGAGAGAGCTCTTCTGGAACAGGTCTGAGCCTTTTGTCTTTTCATTCCCATGACCAACCAGTGGCTCAGTTTGGGGGAGTGCCATCCCGGGAACCCCACCCAAAAGGCTTACCAGAAACCCATTTCTTACTGAGGGTTACCACCATACATACCCTCATCCCGATCTCTTCTCCCACCCTTTATGGCCCTTTGGCCTGGTATTATAGCGGTTGGGCAGCTAACGCTAAAGACACCAGTTGGAAACCACCAGCTGCTCCACAAGAGAAAGATGGGCTTTCTCCTCCTGTAGAGAGTTATTCTCAGAACCCCCCCAGGGGCAGTTCTAGCCTGTCCTGTAGGGTCAATGTGCATCGGAATGAACTCGATTCGAGGTAGTGGGGAGTAGGGCACTTGAACCCTCCCACTGTTGTGTACCGGACACATTTGTAAATTCCTTATTTCCTCTGTAAGGCAGTGAGTTAGCAGCCTTGGCTTTTGTACCTACCTCTGTAGGATTATCTAACCCAATGGCCTGAACATGGGAGAGAGTCAATAAACGTTCACTCGCTGTAATGCTCATTCTAGAACTCTATTTCCTACTTCTTTATTAATTAAAAAAAACGTATTAGGAGCGTAGTATTCGATTCCAAACATCCGATGCCAATGGCTGGGGAAGTGAGGCAGAGCGCAACCTCCTTCCCAAACCGCTGGAGTGCTAAATCGTCCTTGCTGGCCTGGTCCTTGGTTAAGGAGCAGCACAGGGCTGTGGTTATAAACAAGAATAAAAGGTGGAGAATCTAGCAATGCAACTGACATGGTCAACCTACAGCACGCTGAGGTTTGCAGAACAGACTGTCCACCGCCTCCTGAATAGCGGGGTGGACACTGCTCAGAGTGGGGAATTGGGTCATTCCTACACTGGAGCCTGTGCTGCGCGGACAAAGGGCACGCAGGGCCACGCTCAGCTCTGGGGAGAAGGGGAGGGCAGCCACCCGTGGCCGTGTGGGCGGCGCTGGGTACCTGCTGGGGTAAAGCGTACCTTTCAGCTCAGATCCTAAGGAAAGTTTCCCAGGTTTAGGTAAAAAAGGAGGCTGAGCCTGTGGCTGGGGGCGGGGCTGCGCTACGGCCCAGGGCTCCACCCGGCTCCATCTGCATCAGCCCAGGAAGAGCTGTCTGCCCAGCTGGGCGTCTGGCTTCATGCAGGCTGGCAGTGGAGTAGAGGCACCATCCACTCAGGTCTGAGGGGGGCGAGTACTTTTGAAAGGAGACATTGGCACAGACAGGGCAGTGGGTCGGCCTCACCACCCACAACACATGACGTCCGCTTACTGACCCACAATGCTACAGGGGATAGTACTGGAGACATAGTGCTGGAATTGTGGTTGCTCTGATGTTCAGCCCCCCACCACACACACACACCAGGGCAAAACAAGAAGGGAGCCCAACAGAGCTGCAAAGGGGAGCAAAGCAACAAAGTCCCCGAGGAAACCCCAAAACAGACCAGACTCGGGGGCAGGGATTGGCAATGTATCAGACCGGATCGGAAAACATTCCTAAGGGTCAGCAGACAGACCTGGAACTACTGATAGGGTATTTTTTGTCCTTCTTTTTTCATGTCTATCTAGATAAGACAGGCAGGATAAACAATCCTGAGGAGAAAAGGAGACCAATGGTTTTGGGAGGGAGGGCAGGGGAGAGGAGGAGGTGGGGGAAAATGAGGGGTAGCCAACAAATCTAGGGACAAGGGAACAACGAGATCTAAAATTGATGGCCAGGGGGGCATAGAATGCCTGGTGGGGTTCAATCAAGTGTAATGTAGCTGCAAGTACAGATTGCCGAATGAAGGTCGAACATGATAGTGGGAAAGGAGCGTAAAAGGAAATAGAACTAGGAGGTATAAATATATAGGTAGATGTAAATCCCATATATACTCCTGTATAAGCCAAGTTTTTCAGCACATTTTTAATGCAGTTTTTGTGGCAAAATTAGGTGCCCTGGCTGATAATTGGGTTGGCTTATACTCGAGTATATATGGTAATATATAATGATAAGGATTTGGGTCTATGTACATATATTTATAGGTTAAGTATTAAGATAGCAGATGAACATTGGGCCTCTAAGTCTTCTCTCAACACAGGGCACTTTGTTCTAATAACCTGGCATGCTGTGATGCTCACCTTCCCTGACACAATTGCTGAAGACAAAGCGGGGGCATAAGCAAATGTGAAGAAAGCTGATGGTGCCCGGGTATCAAAAGATATAGCGTCTGGGGTCTTAAAGGGTTGAAGTTAAAGAAGCAGCCATCTGGCAGGGAAGCAACAAAGGCCACATGGAAGAAGCACACCAGCCTGTGTGATCATGAGGTGTCTCGACAGGATCAGGTTTCAGAAGACTCAAAACAACCATTTTGATGGAAACGAGGGGGAATCAGAATGGAGACCCAAAGCCCATCTGTAGACAATTGGCCATCCCCTCACAGAAGGGTCCGAGGAAGGGATGAGCCAGCCAGGGTGCAGTATATCACCAATGAGACACACACCATTCCTCTGGTTCTTTAATGCTCCCCCCACCCCACTCTCGTGACCCCAGTTCAATCTTACAAATCTGGCTAGACCAGAGCATGTTCACTGGTACAGATACACAGTGAATCCAGGACAGACACACCCCTCAAGACCAATAATGAAAGTAGCATAACCATTAGGGTAGGGGACAAAGGGGAAATCTCTATCAAGGATCAGCAACCCCAACCCTCACCCCCACCCCCAGGGACGAAAAACAAATGTGGGTGAAGGGAGACAATGGATGGTGTAAAATATGAAAATTAAAATAATTTATAAATTATCAAAGGTTCTTGAGGCGGGAGGGTGGGGGAGGGAAAGGAAAAAAGCTGGTATCAGGGGTTCAAGTAGAAAGAATATGTTTTGGAAATGATGATGGCAACATATGTACAAATGTGCTTGATTCAATGGATATATGGATTCTTCTAAGAGCTGTACGAGCCCCCAATAAAAATGATTTATTAAAATAAACAAATGAGATATTGGGAACAAAACTTGGCCAGGGTGTCTGTGGCTTATCCTTGTGTGTGCCGCCCCCACCTTCCCTCAACACACACCGCTGTCTCACTGGTTTCTAGGGAGAAGGGCAGGCTGCTTGCTCACAGCCCAGACTGACCGCTCTCACTCAAGTCTCCAAGGTCCCTTTCACTGCTGACCACACAGCCCAAAGGACTGGTTGTCTAGGAAACCAAAGAATCGCTTCATCAATAAATCAATTTATTTAAAAGAATATGTTACAATTAATTACACTAAGTGACATTACCAAACAATTTTAGAGTGGTTAGCTCTAGAACAAGGAATGAAAGAAACACTGTTAGCCATTATGTGTCTGTATATTTTCTCTTCACATTTCTTAAATCACAAATAAAAAATACAAGATACTGCAGTGAAAATACAATTAGAGTTTCTCTCAAATAAATTAAAAGTGTGCACGGCCTGGGGAGAACTGAAGCCCAGCTCACTGGCTTGAAGGGGATGGGGGTGGAGCTGGAAACCGTGTGCAAGGTGAGCAGTTGGTCAAGTGCCCCAGCCCCATCTCGCTCCTCTTCATTCTCTCCCTCCCCAGAGCCCTGGACTTCCCTAACCCCCCCACGCCCCCCAACCCAGGGTACTGCTGTGGAGGGACTGAGGCTCTCCCCTTCAGGTGCCAGCAAGAGGCTTGGCAAGTCCTGCTTGGACTGAGGGGAGGGGAAGCTAAGAGGCAAGACTGGGGGCGCGCTGTGAGTTACAGCAGCACACCCAACACCTTGATTCTGATCTCTGAAAAAGCAGCTGGTGAAGAAACCCAGCAGTGTGTTGGGGTCCAGCAGACCAAATGGTCTCACTGCTCAATCCATCCAGACAACATGAAAGAGAGGAGGGCGCCGTAGTCCCTTCAGGTCTGGCGATGTCCAGCCAACCAGGATGCAGTGCCCTTTAAGACTGGCAGATTCCGATATGAGAGAGAGAAGTGTCAGTGCCTCCTGTCAGTGCCCTGTTTTCCTGCTCCAAGCACTGGGTTCGGAGCCATGAGGGGACAACCTGTGGCTACCAGCCTGGGCTGGGTAACTGAAGGAGGAAACCAGATGGCCAGGAATGAGGATGCTGGAACGGTGATCTAATTCCTCCCTGAGAGCTCCGGCCCGGCCTAGGAACTGCCCTGAGCACGTGCATATCTATCTGTACCGGTGCTGAGCTTAGGCCCAAGGCAAGCGGAGGGCAGGAAAATGGAGGGGAGAATAAAAAGATGAAGGAGAGAGAGCCTGAAGCATGGCCCAAGGGAAGTTGCTCTCTGGGCCTGCAGTCTACTGGCTGTTCTCTACAAAGCTCTGTGCCTCCTCCCCTTCCAGGAGGAAGACCGTGCGGGCTCTGTTGGAGGGAGTGTTCAGGAGTCTCCCCCTCCCACGGACACAATGCTAAAGACGATTAGGGAGAAGCCTCCCTGGGCTGAACCAGGACAAGGAAAGTCACAGGGACTAGAGAAAGGAAGTATGAGGGGGACGGAGGGTCACACCTAACACTGCTTCATGCAAAGAAGGGCTAGATCCGGTGGCCTCAGGGGCCACAGTGACCCCTACACCTCTTGTCACGGGGAGGAAGACCCCTCTCTCGGGCCTCGTTCCTCCCTATTGTAGGCTGCGGCACAGCCTCAGGCAGGCCTGTCCCCCAACAGTCTAACAACAGGCCAACACTCTGGGGCCCATCACCCCCCCCAGAGCACCAAGGGGACAGATGTGGTGCTGGACAAGGAACAGAGCAGCAGCCAGCCTCTCCAGAGGAGGCACCCCCAGCATTTCATGCCCAGAGGCCAGCGCGGGCATCACATGGAATTTGTTCGGTACTCTCCCACTACGAAGGAGGGGAGGGAAAGAAGAACTGCTGCCAGTTTTGCCATTTGGACAAACCGGAAGCCAGTCTCGTTAGCATCTTGGAGCGAGAAATCCACTTACCCCACCCCCACCGCTGCAGGGTCTCTTGGCTCAGTATTAAATTTGTTTAAACAAACAAAAAAAAAACAACCCCAAAGTGAATCCTATGTCAAAGCCTTCCAATCAGGGGTCAAGTTCCACGTTCTTCTGTTCTGCACTCAGACTCCCCCGGGAGAAACGATGAGAGAGAGGTCTACTGGACCCAACTCTCCTCTGAGGACATGCGGCCACCCGTTTACGGAGTGGCCCTGCAAAAGCCAGCTACAAAACAGACCTGGCAACAGCCTCCCAGGTCCGCAAAGCAAGGACGCCCGTGAGGAGGACATTGTCGGGAAGGCAGGAAGAAAAGGAGGATCTCACAGCATCAGAGCCGGCCTCAGTGTTTCCAGGCGCCGGGTGGAGGCTGCCGTCCACCAGGCTCAGCTGGCCCAGCCCCTGGAACACAGCTCCCAGGGGGCAGCACTGGGGAGGGCAGAGTATGTCCTGCAGTCTCCTTGTAATGGCCAGGCGAGGGCCAACCTAAAGCCAACAACGCTCCTCCTGCACCTTCCTGGGCCTTCAGTGGGCGTGGGTGGGGCTGCAGTTTGGTTGGCACAGGCCACTGACCCATCATCTCCTAGATACTTCAGGCTCCTCCCCAACGCGCTGCATCCGGAAGTCACAGAGCACGTAACAGTTCCGGCTGGTGAGTGGTCAGGAATGGGGCCGGGGACGCTGACGTCACAGGGCACTGCTTCCCTCCTTGTCCCTGTGTCAGCCCCAGTGGGTGCCTCAGGGAACCAGCCTCGCGCTGCCTCCTTCAGGAAAGGCAGGGAAATGAGAAATCACCACCGTGAGGGGTCTCCAGTTCCTGTGGCATCGCCTTCATCTCCTGGGCCAGCTGAGGGATGGCAGACAGGGGGTCATAGGGCGGGGCTAGAGAGGCATGAGTTAGAGAGAGACAGATGGACCAGGAAAATTGTCCTAGAATCGGCCATGAGGCCATACTAAGTCTTTAGACTCTCACTTGCGGCCTGGCTGCCCTGCATGCACACACCTCTTCCTCCTCCCCCACACCCTCTTGGGAGATAAACAATCCTTGCTCCTCAGACTGGTGACATAAGTCAGAATCTGCATTCGATGCAAATAGAAGGGGGTGGGGGCAGGGGTGGGGAAGAACCCAGGCAGGTTGTAAACTTTGCGAGTCCTTCGTGAGGAGAGGTATTTTCCCTGTAAAATGTTTGCGTGTTTGTATGTGTGTGTACTGTTGTTGGGTTTTTGGTTTTTTTTGCCTTTTTAAAGTTTGTTTCAAAATAAAGAGAGCAAGAGAGGGATCATGAGTCCTCGTGAAAGATGTGTAAAAACACAAGCTAAAAAAGGTACTGCCATCAATATGAAACTTAAAAAGAAATATATATATATGTATATACGTGCAGCTAATTTGTGTATATATAATTTTTTTACATACATACATATATATGTCTGAACAGTGCACATGGATGGAGTTCGTAGTTCCAGTTTTAAAAATAGAGAACAAGGAGAGTCTGTGGGTGTGAGGCCCAGGTGAGGGGACAAGGACCCCTTTGGCGGCTGGCGGGGCTGACCTCTTCCCGTCTTAGCTCAGCTGACTCCCGGTGCTGACCAATCAGCTGTTCTCTACCAGCTAGGTCCCAGAGACACGACATTCAGAGGGGTGATTATTAATGCTCAGTCTAGGGCTTTTGGATATAATGACTTTTTTCCTTTTTCTCTTCTTTTCGTGTTAATAGTTACTCTGTCTGACATGGGAGACAAAGAGGGTAAGAGGAGGAGGGTGGGGAGGAGGGCCAGAGTAAGGAGAGGCTAGGTAGCCACATCCCTCTGCTGGGACCTTGCCATCTGGAAGATGTTCTGAAAGGGAAGAAGAAAAAGCATCAGCGGGTCCCTTTCACCGCCCCCCCGAACAGAAACTGAAGCCTACACCTGGAGGCCTCATCTGATCAGCCCCTGCCCGGTAAACGTCCCACCCAGAGGCACAGCCTTTCGGAGCGGGCCCACAGGTGAGAAAACGGGGTAGCTGATATGGGAGGTGAATTTCCCCCAAATCAGAGAGAAGCGAGGCCAGAGAACTCAGCTCTGACGCCGAGTTCAATGTTCTCGACCCTGTGCCAAAATTATATACTTGCAGGTTCCTGAGGGGACCTCTGGATCCCTGAACTATTTCCTCAGAGTAAGTGGTCCCTCAGCCAGACTCTTCCCATCCCACACCAGCACAGGCACGTGGCCACAGCAGGAGAACAGTAGCCCAAAGCCTGCCTCATTAACCCACACAGAACCCCCATCCGAGCGGCCCACACTGAGGTCAGCTGCCCTTCTGGAGGGCAGTTTGAGAGTTAAAAAACAAAAAAAAAAATCCACAGGCTACGGTGGGTCTGTGAAGTCATGAGAAGTGAAAGAGCCAGTGCCCACCCCTCCAGCCCAGAGCAGCTGGGCTTTCTGACCGGAGGACTCAGCCAGACGGAGACCAGGGGCCAAGCAGTCCCTAACTAACGTCCAGACAGGCAGAGAAGGAGGGGAGGCCTGGGCATTTTGCCTAGCGCACTGCTGCTGAGCCGATTCGCACTCACGCGGATCCTACACAGGGTTCCAGAGACTGCATACCTTCACGGGAACAAACCCACCTCACCTTTCCCCCTGGCTAGCGGCTTACAACCACTGAGCCCATGCTTAAACCACAGTGCCACCAGGGCTCCTTTTTTCAAGGGTGGGTGGGACATAGGCCTATACATCTCAAACAACAGTGATGAACAAATCAGCGCGTGAACTGTGTAGAATTACCTCTTTTCTCCACTTGAGCTCGCAGAACACCCTCTCGAAGCACTCATGCATGTAATTGAACTGAAAAAGAAGTCACAACACTGAAGTGCCGCCCCTGGGTCTAGCCCCCCCACAGCACAGGGCCACCAGCCCTCCTGAGCCAGCCAGCCAGCCGGGGCCTGACCAGAACCCAGCTGGCAAGGCCAGGCCGGGCTTGCCTGCTAGTCTTTGGCTCCTTCTAGTGGCAACGGTTTGAGTCGACTGCCGGTGAAACGGCCCATTCACCAAACCCAAACCACTCACTACCATTCCAGCAGGTCACGGTGGGGCCTACAGAAAAGCCCATGTGAACCCGGGTCCTAAGATGCAAACAGGTTCTGGTCTCAAGACTGCTGCCCCTCCACAGAGAGCCTTAAGCCCAGTCTACCTTCCCGCGCAGGCCTCCCAGGCACCACTCACATATGGCGTGAAGATTTTAACCCATCGGGGCTTCTTCTCTCCCCGTGCGTATTCAAAGCAGAAGGCCATTCCTTCTTCGTCGGTGTCCCATCGCTGCATCTCATCCCATTCAAATGCTATTACCTGGTTCTGCAAACCGGGAGCAGAGTGTCAGGCCCACGGCATCCGAGTGTGGGCGCGTGAATGGGGATGCTGACTGTGACCGATGGACAGAAGTCCGTGGAAGGAGCCAACGGAGTTGAGGCTCAGCGGGGGCCCAGCACCGCTTCTCTGCCTCACCCCTCATCAAGGAGTATGTCAGGGCCACCCGCCCCCAGCTGAGCTCTCACCTCCAGCTCCCCTTCCTCGGTGCAGGCGTGCAGTTTAAAGTGCGTGATGCTGATGGCGGTGATGACGTGCCCCTTCCTCCTGGAGTCACAGGCACAGTGCGGGAAGATGATTTCGTTGTAGCCTTCGCAAGTCCTTAGCATGTTGAGGTACTAGACAGAAAGGAAGAGGAAGCGGCGTTTCTATGGAGCGACTCCTCAGTGGAGAGCTGCTGAGCTGGGATGAGTGCCCGCCCACGCTCACCCAGAGCCCCGAAGCCTCGCCTCTGCTCTCACCGCCCTCCTTGCCTGGGATCAAAGCCAAATCGCACTGCCACTGCGCAGGACAGGCTAGAACTCACTGCCCCTGCGGATTTCTAAAATTCTGTGTGTTGTTTTGTTTGTTTGCTTTTTCCTAAAACTCTGTTTACGGGAGTAGAAAGCCTTGTGTTTCTCCCACGGAGCAACTGGGGGTTTCCAACTGCAGACCTGTGGTTAGCGGGCCCACGCATAAACACGGTGCCACCAGAGGCCCCACAGGAGTCAGATCAGGCTACCCTTTATCCCACTTCCAATTTCCTCTTCCTTACTTCCAACCCCCTTTAAGAAGATCCGTGTGTGAAGCCAGAAGAGACGCCAATCAAAATGCCAGGGCTAAGAAAGGAACTCGGCACTCCACTCCCTCTGGTCCTTCCCTGCACCGTGCCCAGGAGGTGGGGACTGATCAAAGCTAGCAATCACGGGAAGGGGGCGATCTTTCTCCCCACCTCTTCTTCAGCCCAAAGTGATACTGATCTCAGGGGTCCTGACTACACTAGTCCAACCCCCAGGCTCATGAAGCGGAACGCAGAGCTCAAGCTTGCTAGTCAACTCCAACTCAGGGCGACCCCACAGGACAGGAGAGAGCTGCCCCTGGGGGTTTCTGAGATGGTCACTCTTTACAAAAGTAGAATGTCTGCTCTTTCTCCCACAGAGCGGCTGGTGGTTTTGAACTGCTGACCTTGCAGATTGAAGCTGGGTGTGTAACTAATACGCCACCAGGGTGGTAAAGCTGAGAGAGACCTTAGAATTATTACAGAAACTCGGGGTAGCTATGAGAATTGCTTGGGGTTACATGTAATAAGAAGTGGCACAACCGGGGTCAGACCCCAGGTTCCATGTCTGGGCTAGGACTCCACTGTCCATCAGCAGACAGTGCTCTGGGCAGCAGGTGTCTCCTCATCAAGCACTCAAGGGACATGCACGGCTCTCACGGGCAGTGTTATCAGATGAGCCCAGAGATGTCTCATCACTAGTGAGACAGTAACACAAATCTCTGTCTCTTCTCTCCTGCAGCTGGCATCATTATTTCAGGTCGAGAGAGGAGAACAGAAATGTGGGGGACAGAGGACAAAGAAAAGGACACTACAGTGTGTGTGTGTGGGGTGGGGAATTCATAGATTCTGGCTCCTCAGGGACTGCCTGGGAAGTTGGAGAACAGACCTAAGACCCCCCACACCCCCAGCTGCAGGTCACAGTGAGGGGGGGGACGTGGACAAAGTGCCCAGATTTCATGAACTAGATGGGCAGGGAGATGAGAAGACACAGGGGACCTGCCTTCTGCCTTACCAAGAGAGAAGGGGCATGGATTCAACTGGGCAAATCTCTGGTTCTGATGCCAATCACTGGCATCTAAGATCATTGCTAAGCCACCAAGGGCTGTTGGAGAAGCACCAAGGGCCCGGGAAGGAGGTGGCGGGGTGAATCACACCACATTCTCCCTTCTGCTTAGGTGGAAGAGTGACTTTGTAAAGGTGCCCTTTACAAAGGGCAGCCAAGAACACAGGGACAGCACGGTGAACTTAGAGCGGAGGCTCCTGGTGCCACAGCACACAGTCGTCGTCGCCCCCCCTCCCCTTCTTCTCCTCTCACTTCTCCCTCCTCCTCCCTCACCCTCCTTTTCCATCATCCTTTCTCTCTCTCTCTCTCTCTCTCTGTGCTACTGGCACTCCAAACAGAAACCACATGCTTCATGAAGGGGCGGATACAAAACGAGAGCGAGCAGCCAAGACGGGGACAGGAAGCACTTCACAGAGGACAGGTGAAGAAGAGTGTGAGCCCAGATCCTCGCCCTATTACTTCCAGGGTTCAAGCCCCCAAAACCCTCACTGCCCTTGGGTCGAGCCCAACTCATAACTGCCCCGGGGCTTCCCGAGGACCTCTGTCTTTACAGGAGTACAAAGCCCATCTTTGTCCCGAGCAGCAGTTGGAGGGTTCAAACTGCTGGCTGTTCCTTGAGCAGCGCTACATGCCACCCCGTCCACCACCAGGGTTGCTCTACTTCCTGACTGTGTGACCTTGGGCACATTACTTGAAAGCAGGCTCATTTACTTAAAGCAGGAAGCTTCGTTTCCTCTCCTGAACGATGAGAATAGCACCCGCTCCCTCACAGGGCTGCTGTGCGGGCGGCATATGCACTGTCAGCCCAGCACTCAGCACGCAGGAGACGTCTCACCAGGAATGAGGTGACCCATGTGTGGCTGAGCTGACCTGGGTTCTAGGAAGTACATCACCAGGTCTTTCTTCTGAGGTGTCTCTGGTTGAAGAGGAACTTCCAACCTTTGCATTAGCAGTCAAGTGCATTCGTGGTTTGTACCCCCCACCCCCAAGACTCCTAATCAATGATACCTTAAAAAAACAACAACAACACAAAAAAACAATAATTCTTGGTCAAAAGGCTCAACCATTTTCTCTCTCAAGAATGCCCTGTCCAACAATATACCTAGAAATTATGTTCAAGCCTCCAATGGTGCAGAGGGAGTAGAGAGGGAGGAGGCGGTACGGCAGGAAGTTGATGGGTCACTGAAGCTGGATAATGGGTAAGCCTAAACCAAGCCCATGCCACAGAGCCCATGCCCACTCAGAGTGACACTACGTAGGCTTCTGCGGCGGTAAATCTTTACAGGAGAAGCCAACCTTCTCTTTCTCCCTGGGAGCAGTTGGTGGATTTGAACCACTGACCTTGTGGTTTAGCAGCCCAACTGCTTACCTGGCAGTGCCACCTAGTCTTTCGGCTTCTCTCTGTGACTGCCACCTAGTCTTTCGGCTTCTCTCTGTGACTGGAAGTTTCCACAATTAAATGCTCCAAGGAAAAGAAGGGCGCCTGCAACGAGGCGTCTGGCCTTCATCCAAGTCACGCTCCGAACAGGCCCACTGGCAACTCTCTACGGGCTCCTCAAGAAGCAAACCCAGCTCAGCGCAGCCCAAGACCTCTGCCAAGACCAGCGGGGCCGCAGACTCTCCAGAGCAGTTCTGTTCCCATCCTTCCCTGCGGAAACGCTTGTGCAGAACACAGCAATGGAGCGTCCTCGTGCCTGAGAGCTTCTGCGGCTGCTTTGAAACCTACTTCTGCTTCATTCTGATCGGGAGTTTCACTGACTTTGTGTTGTCAGAAGAGCGGTGGAGGTCCACGGAGCGCGACTTCTCTCTGTGACACCAAGCAAGCCCCTCTACCTGGGGCTCCCAGTCAGGCACAGTGCTGCTCTCCTCTCCCCAGTGTGCACTGAAGCCACACCAACAGGGGTTCAAATCTCATTTCCCCACCCGCCGTCCCCTGCTGACAAGTTGCGAGCTCTAACCTCTCAGACCCCACCTCTCTGCAGAGAGGGGCTGGCTCCCGAGTGGCTGCTAGGGAGTGAAGGAGGACGTCCGTGAAGTGCCTACAACAGGCCCGTCAGAGGTGTCTTCCTCCTACCCTTCATACTCCAGGGTGCTAGTCTCTGAAGGCAAAGGACCTTCAGGGGACTGACTTTCTCATGAAGCAAGGTCTGAAAAGAACCAGCAGGAAAACCAAGGGCCCTGTGACAGGCCATAAGAGGTCAAAGTCATGGGAAGATGTAAGTGTTTCAGTGGGTCTTGGCGTGGGCAGTGTTTCTTGGCCCTAGTGGGCAATCTCTATATTCTCTGAGTTTGTAAACTCAGAGAAGACACATTTAACATTTCAGAAACCCACAAATGTTCAAGACACACGAATGTTGTTTTAAACATATCTACCTAGGTGTGTGGATATTTATCTTAAACCCAAAACTATCCTGTGCATTTCTCCTTTCATTGTAAGTTCTGAATAGCTAGGTATGTATCCTGAGCCACCTTCCTTGATTTCTATGCCCACTTTGGTGGGCCCATCAGGCAATCTTGGAGGAAAGGCATAACATAGCGGGGCATCTTATGAAGGCTGAATATTCAGCAAGGCAGGTCAGTACTGACACGGGGCCAGAGTGAAGCAGAGATGCTGATTTAGCAGAGCAAAACGCTCAGGGTCAATGGATGAAGGTCCATTTTGGAGAACATTCTGTTCTCCCAAACAACCCAAGAGTCGACTCAGGTCTGAAGTGGAAATAAGGGCTTGAGAGGAGTTTTGGAAGCCAATGTTTCCAAAGAGTAGTGATTTAGAAACACCAATGGTATAATAGTTAAGAGTTGGGCTGCTAACCACAAGGTCTGCAGTTCAAAACCACCAGCCACTCTGGACAAAGGTAAATGGATTCTGACAAAGGACCAAAACTATTCAATAGAAATAGTTTCTTTAATGTGGTACAAGCAGAACTGGATACCTATTTGCTGAAAAAAGTTAACAGAATCCCTATCTCTTACCATACACAAAGAATAACTCAAGTTGAATCAAAGGTCTAAATATACAGCCTAAAACTATAAAGATCAAAGAAAATTTAGGGACAAATGTAGGAGCCCAAATATACGGCATAAATATATCATCAAATATACCTGAAAACGCACAAACACAGAAGATAAACAAGATGATTAGGACTTCATAGAAATTAGACATTTATGCATATCAAAAGACTAATCTCCAAAATTCACAGGAAACTTCAAAACCTCAGAAACAAAAAGGCAAATAATCCTACTACATAATAGGCAGAGAACATGAACAGATCACCAGAGATGACATCAGGGCAGCTAACAAACCCCCAAAAATGCTGGTGATCATGAACTAGAGATGCAGATCAAAGCAACAATGATGTATCATCTCGCCCCAGTATTAATAGGAAAATTCAAAACCAAAACCAAACAAATCAGAAAACACATTCTGGAGAAGGTATGGGAGAAACTAGAACCCTCACATCCTACTGGTGCAACTGTACAAGAGTGTAACCACTGTGGACACAGGTAAAGGGGGGGAGGGGAGGAGAAAAAAGAAACGAGGGTGATGGGGGAACAGAGCACTTGTACACTCAGTTTATGTCTCCACAGGAAAGGGAGATAGGACCAGACGCTATCCCAGAGTGCCAAGTCTTACGGGCAACATACTGGTATGGAGCAGTGACCTAACAGAGAGGACGATGGGCCCAGACCAAGCTGAGCTGTGTTGACCCCTCCCCAGAAGAATGTAATACAGAGGACAGCACTGAAAATATAGCCTGGGGAGAATAGCAGGTCTCTCCAGACCACACAGGTGCAAACTAAGAGAAAAAGAGAGAGAGAGAGAGAATACCTCATCACGGCCCACCAAGTCCCAGGGATGACATCCCTGCTTGGAGCAGCCAATGCACAGAGATGACCACACGGCCGGCTCCACCAGTTGAGACATGATGTTCCCTCACTGTTCCATAGTGCTATGGGGCCAGCACTGGAGACACTGTGTGGAAGGTGTGCCTGGTCTGCCCCCCACACAGTGGGATGTAACGCGAAGGGAGTGCAACCGGGCAGCAAGGGGAGCAAAGTAACAAAGTCCCCGAGGAGTCCTGAAACTAGACTTCTGACCTGGGGGGCAGGATTTGGCACCTCATCAGACTTGACTGGAAAACACCCATAAGGAACAGCAGACAGACCTGGAAATATCTTTTTTTTTCTTTAGCCCTATGTCTATCTGGATAAGACAGGCAGGACAAACAATCCTGAGGTGGAAACAACAGACCAGCGGTCCTGGGGGGGACATGTGGGGAAGGGGAGCGGGGAGCCAACAAATTCAGGGATAAGGGAACAACAAGAGATATAAAATTGATGGTGAGGAGGGTGTATAATGGCTGGTGAAGTTTGATCAAGTGCAATGTATTCAAGAGGAATTACTACTGAGAGCTGAATGGAGGGTGAGCATAATAGTGGGACAGGAGGAAGGTGAAAGGAAATAGAGGAAAGAAGTAGGAGGCAAAAGCTATATATAGAGGTATAGCTCTAGGCATGTATGTGTATATATATATATATTACATGTAATACATGTAAATATATTAATATATAATTACATACAATATATCAATATATTTACCTATATATGTAAATACATTAATTTATAATGAAAGGCACAGAGGCCAATGTACATATATTTAAATGTTAAGTATTAATATAGTAGATAGACTTTGGGTCACTATTTAAGTATTCCCTCAACGCAAGAACACTTTGTTCTAATAACCTGGCACTCTTTGATACTCACCTTCCCAACACAATCATTGAAGACAAAGCAGGTACATAAGCACATGTGGTGAAGAAAGTGGTGGTGCCCAGCTATCAAAAGATATAGCATCTGAGGTCTTAAAGACTCGAAGTTAAAGAAGCAGCCATCTAGCAGGGAAGCAAATAAGCCCACATGGAAGAAGCACACCAGTCTGTGTGATCATGAGGTATCGATGGGATCAGGTTATCAAGAGATGCAAAACAAACAATTATATCAATGTGAATGAGGGGGTTGGAGTGGAGACCCAAAGCCCATCTGTAGACAAGTGGACATCCCCCGACAGAAGGGTTACAAGGAAGGGACGATTCAACCAGGGTGCAGTATAGCACCTATGAATCACACATCATTCCCCTAGTCCTTGAATGCCCCCCACCCCCAACCCAGTTCTACTTGCAAATCTGACTAGACCAGAGCTCTCCATACATGGAACTCAGGATGGATAAAACCCTCAGGAGCAGTAGTGGGGGGGGGGGGACCCCATCACAGGGTTGGATGTATAGCCCACTCCCAGGGGACAAATAACAGAAATGTAGGCGAAGAGAGTCAACGGGCAGTGTATGACACGAAGTAACAACAAAAATATGTAACTGATCAAAGATTCAAGAGGGTGAGAGGGTGGAGCAGGGAGGGGGGAAAAGAGAAGTTGATACCAAGGGCTCCAGTAGAAAGAAAATGTTTGGAAATGTTGGCAATATATGTACAACTGTGCTTAATACAATTGAATGATGGATTGTTGTAAGATTTGTAAAAGCCTCCCAATGATTAAAAAAAGTTTTTTAATTGAAAATAGAAGAATCCCATGGTCCAGCAATCTCACCACTGAGTATAAACCACAGAGCACTAAGAGCTGTGACAGGGCAAAGGCACGCACGCTCATGTTCATCACAGCACCATTCACAGGAGCAGAAGGACGGAAAGCAGTTAGGTGCCCATCAATGGATGCAGGGTAAACAGACGATGGCCCATGCACGTGGTGGGATGTTTGTTGTCCACAGCGATCCTATGTGCATCAGAGACACGGCCCGACACTAGGTGGTGTTAAAGAATGATGAGAAACCTGCAAAACCCCTTCAACTGCAGATAAACCTAGATGGCCCTGTGCGGAGTGAAATTAGTCAATCACGGAAGAAGTATTAGTGCATGCGGCCACTACTGTAAAGTGTCAACCAAAGGCTGACAGGGAGCAAGAAACATTCTTTGAAGATGACCACTGGTGGGAGGGGAGAGGGGCAAGCACTGACTAGGTTTACTCTTTAACTAAGGGAGAAGTCAGCTCAACCCGATGAAGGCCCAGGAAGACACTGGGCGGAGCACAAGAGATAGAGTCTGGCAATAATCGTCCCAACAATAATGCGTGCATGAACACACAAACACGTGTGGGAGGGTGATGGGGACTATACTCACAAACATAATTAGGTCTGACAGAACTATCGACACACGTATTTACAGGTGCTGCAAATACACCCATGTAAATAGTAGTACATACAGGGGACAAAGTTATAAAAACTTCCAAACCACACTCAAACGTCTTGAGGGAATGAGTCACTTGGGGAACATCGAGATCACCTGGCATGACAGTTCTCAGAGAAAATGTTTTATATCCTATTTTGATGAGTGGCAACTGGGCAAAAGCTTACGAGAGGCCATCTAAGGTGCAACTATTGTCTTTGCAGGACTAGAGCAAAGAAGAGGGGAGAACGTCAAAGATACAAGGAAACCCCTCCTCCCAGGGAGTACTGGGCCTCGCACAGCCAACCTCCATGACCCTGAGACCCGAAGAACTCGATGGTGCCTCGCTCCCACTCTGAAAGGGGCCACGGGAAGAGCAGCAGACAGAGGGGGAGGAAACTAGAACAGACTTAAAAGAGGAATACAGAGCAGGCCCACTGCTCTAAGAGAAACTGGTGGACCCAGATGTGGAGCTCAGACACCCTTCAAGCCTGGATGGAACTGGGCTCGTCTTGCAGCCAAACAATAGTAGAAGAGGAGCTTGGGGAGGAGGCACTCAGAACCAACCGGTGGAGACTAAAACAAGGGCAGCCTCTGGCCAGGGACCAGAAGGCACGAGAGAATGGAGAGGAAACAGTAAACACAGGGAGGACCATGGGAAGCGGACGAGGTGAGGGGAGGTTGCACACGATGTCACCAAACAAACTGAATGTGAATCGTGAATGAAAACCAGTTTGCTCTGTAAGCTTTCACCTAAATCACAGAAAGTTTAAAAAAGGAAGCAAGTCACTTATCCCCGCTCAAACAAGAAGTTAAGCAGACTATTGCTCTTGTGCTGCCATCGAGCCGGTGCCAACTCAGAGACCCTGTGTACCACAGAACGGAACATGACCCACACTGGTTCTTACGTTAGAGCCCACTGAGGCAGCCAGGCTGTCAATCATCGTGTCGAAGGTCTTTTTCACGATCCCTCTACTTGACCAAGCACGACACCCTGCTCCAGGGACTGGTCTCAGTGCACTCTTACCCCAATCCAATGAATTTAAGTGAATGAACATACACTTATAAAAACTGCACACAAGGTACTAAAGAAAGTTAAATGACCTATCAGAAATCATTACTAATGCCTTGTGTGACATCATTAAACACTCTAATTGGAATTTTTTTTAAATACTGTGGGTGGAAGTTGTAAATATTCTTTGCATATTTTATTTTTGATAACTTTTATTTATGACAGATACAAACTAGAAACTACCTTTAAACTGTTTAAGACACTCTGCAGGTAGCCCTGGCCCGCAGAATTTCTGTAATGGTGAGCCTGCTCCTTCTCTGAGCTGTCTGACATGGCAGCCAGCAGCCACGCGGCTGAGACACAGAATTGAAAATTTCATTCCATTTATATTAAATAGCCACATACTGCTCATTTCTATAGAATCACCCGGCACAGCTCTAATCAGAAACACTATTGAGAACAGGGATGTTTATGCAACTGCACAAAGAGAAGTCATAAAAATACATGATTTTGCTATACCTAAACAACACCTAAAATCATTTCTAAAACCCTGTCCTCACAAAATTTTTTTTAATGATTTGCACATCTTTTAGTACTCTTTCAAATCTAAAGAATACAGTTAGGCTATTATTAATAAAGCTATATGCCTACTTTCAGCAATATATGCTTTTTGTGTGCTAAATGCAAGAACACAAATGGCTTAGCCTAAAGAGTCTGTATTCTTCTCCCATATTCCCGCCCCACTTTTCTTCTGTGTTAGTAAAGCCAGGTTTCAGCCCCCATAAAAATGAGGGGAACAACAGGTTTAAAGGTAGGAAGTGGCGGTCTTCCAAAGGGTTACGGGAATAGAAACCTACCATGACCATTTTCCTTTGTTCGTACAGCTTCTGTAACTGGTAGGACTTCTCCTCTGCTTTGATATAACCTTTCTTCACATCATCGACAGCCTGTCACCAAAACAAAGGCAGGGGGAAGTCATTATCAAGGCCATTTTGTTAAAAGTAAAGAGACAGAGGTTCATGTCCGGAATATCGCTTATCCATCAGCACCATCACCATGAGTGAGCTCTGCCCCGGGAAGCGATGTCCTGGAGTAACTGAAGATTGTTCTAGACACGGTGAGGGTCTTGGTTTCTGGTACTTAAGAGACTTAAAATTCTGGCTCATTTATGCATAGGAAACAATCAGAGAACAATGGAAGACAGTACACAATAGTGCATTAAAGTAGCAACACTACAAAGCAGGCTGTCAATGCTATACTGCAGTCATAATGGGAGAGCCTATTCCTAATGATGGTTCTCCAGCGTGCCGTGGCTGGATCCCCGAAAGGCTGGGTTGAGTAAGAAAAATTCTAAGTTAAAGTCAAGAAATAGCAATGGGTTTGAACTTCCATACATTCAGGAGACAGCAGAATCTGATTTGACCAAAGGGCACACAAGGGGCAGCAAAAGACAATGCTGGTGGATCGGTTAACAATGGGTTATGAAGGATCCTGAAAAGTAGGCGCACATTTAGACTTGAGATAGAGCTGTACTCTTTACAGAAGAGGAATTCTGTGGCACAGTGGGTAAGTGTTTGACTGTTAGGTCAAAGGTCAATAGTTGGAATGTACCGGCCGCTCCTTGGGAGACAGATGGGAGTCTGGAACCCTTTTTCTCTTTTTTGGAGGGGCAGGCTCTACTCTGTCCTCTCGGGTCACTGTGAGTCCAAATGAACCCAACAGCAACAGGCTAATAGGCTGACCTTACAACAAAAGCAGATCACACTTTTGCCCTAGGAGTTACTGGGGAGTCACACTGCCCTGTGCTTAACCGCTGAGCACTCAATCGCTGCATCACCAGAGTCCCTTCAATTTATATTAAGTGACTTTAATTTCTATAAATTCGGTTAAGGCAGAAATAATTTCCCATAGCCTTTCAGGGGTAAATATTTGGATAACAGAATGAGCTCAGGATTAAAACAGAGACCAGTTCAACTTCTAATCCCATCACCTACCAACGTGTAAGTAAAATAGAAATATTCTTCTCAGAGGTAGACAGATGAGACAAGATGTTGAGACTATTGAAAAATATGAAGTGCATGCAAATAGTTACTAGTAGTAGTATTGCTGTTACTAGTATTATTTAGCTGGTTAAGTTCTTCTAAGAAGCACATGGAGGCTACTACTATCGTCATGCCTGGTGCTGTCTAATGCAAACGGTGCCCCAGTCTCCCCTGAGTCCTGGCCACCCAAGGAAGCACCCACTTAGGCAGCGAGGATTACAGTCGCAGGGGATGCTTAGAAGGAAGTGCCATTCCGTGTCCTGGAGCACTGGGACTCTGGGTTATTTCTCTCTAAGATATCTTGCAACCAACAAAACCTTGCTCCAGAATTAAATTTAAACCAATTCCTGAAGAGCTGGGGGAAAAGTCAAGAAGGAAAGAAAACAAGTCAAAAATAGATAATTCTGGTCTACTGATTTTGCTTCCCATGTAACTTACTGTTATTCAGCTGAGGAAAGGGGCCTTGCGATTCTTTTCCCAGGATCACATAAAAATACAAAACTTCTGCCGTCTGCATGTCCTCAATGCCTAGCCCCGCGTCTGGTTCAGATCAGTACTTCACGCCCTCATGAACATTTTCCAGGTGGAGGTGCAGCTTAGCCTGAGGAGCCTCGTCCACTCTAGCTGCTCTTGAGTTTCACATGGGGCAGGAGAGGGCTCTTTCCCGTCTCATGTCTAGTCAAGATACATTGTTTGACTACCCCCAAGCAGAAAACAAGCATCACTAAAGTCTTTCTATTTTAAGTAGAAAATATACGTAGGGAAAAAACACACAAGGCTCATAATAACACCAGCAGTTCCCTGGCTCCAGAGCCTCATTCCACTGGGCAGAGCCTTGTGAGAACTTTAACCAGCGTTTTTCATCCCCGTATGTCATCCGAAATGACATGTTTAATGTGATGATTCCTTACTTATCAGACTTATTGTGCTAAAAACATTAGGTTTTAGCTCTTACACCACCCAAATGCTACTTCTCTTCCCCTCAGTAAAATTAAATCAGTAATTCACTTTAAGTATCTAAACAATATTTGTAACCAAACCACATCCCACAGTTGTGAGTTCCTGTGATATATGTGTATGTTTGTACATGTATGTATGTATATATGTATTTTACTTGCTTTTCCTGATGTTAATAATAACTACCTTCATTTTTGCCTGTTACTTTCCACGTACCTACTACCAATTTTTCTCCAAAAAAACAGAATACCAACATCTCTCTCAAGTTATTCACTCTTTTTTTTAAGTTGCTAATATTTATCATCTGCTATGGTCACCTCTGCTGTTTCTCTTGTTTTTTTGTGGATCTAAGCCTTATAAAATTCCACTACTATTATTTTAGTGAGCTTTCAGGAGAGCGCAACTTAAGTATATGGGTTCCATCTGTCAGGTTCAGCCTAAATTTAAATATATTCTACAGGAATTTTGACCTTATCAATGTTTTATTTGGGGGGGGGGGCAAAAAACAAAAACTCTTTAATAAGCCATCATTTT